CTCCCTCAGCTCCTCAGTGAACCAAGGAGCCAGGTGAGACCGGAGCCGGGTCAGAGGCCGCAAAGGCACGACCCGGTCCAAAGCTCCAGCGGCCGCCCTATTCCAGGCGGCCACTAGGTCTTCAGCCGAGCCGTGTGCCAGAGCCTCAGGAAGTGGCCCAAGCTCCGTCTGGAACCTATCTGGATCCATCAGGCGCCTGGGGCGGAACCACCTCATTGGTTCCGCCTCCCTGCGGTGGGGTATGGCGGTTCGAAGGTCTAAGCGAAGGAGGGAGTGATCTGACCATGACAAGGGCTCAATCGCTATATCCCCTATCTCAAGATCACTCAACTACTGGCCAGAGACAAAAACGAGGTCCAGCGTGTTTCCCCCCGTGTGAGTAGGGCCATGAATTAACTGGGTCAGGTCCATGGCCGTCATGGAAGCCATGAACTCCCGGGCCGCCTCAGATGTCTCACCAACTGATGACAGGTTAAAATCCCCCATGACCATAAGCCTGGGGGTATCAACCGCCACCGCGGCTATAATGTCGAGCAGCTCGGGCAGGGCCGCTGCCACATGGCAGGGAGCCAGGTACGTGACTAGCAGGCCCATCTGCACCCCATGACCCCACTTCACAAGGAGGGACTCACATCCGGCCGTCTGAGGAACAGTGGCCTCCCTCGGACTAAGACCCTCGTTAATAACAACAGCCACCCCTCCGCCCCTCCCCTGAGACCTTGGCTGATGAAATGCACAGAAACCGGGTTGTTCAAGGTGCAATGACAATAAAGTAAAGTAAACTAAAAAGACTGAAAAGTTGCAGCCAGCTGGGTGTTTCTCAACCTCAGTCAATTTCAGATGGATGGACTCCAACTCCCAGAATTCCTCAATCAGTAAACTTAATCCATCCTGAGGTTAAGAAAGCATCCAACTAGAGTCACCAAAGTGGCTTCAAGCTGAAATTTTGAAGAAATTGCACAGGTCCTTTCTTGGCTGACAAAGAATCAGGAGTCTGCTAGCATCTTTTCCCACTAACAAATTTTGATTGAAACGCGTATACTTTTGTGATGTTAGCAGCTCACTTCACTGGACACACAAACTGATGTAGGATTTAAATTGGGCTGGGAGGAAGGGAGGGGATGATGGAAGCTGCATCTCCCCTCCATTTTCCCCACCTCATCCCATTTTAAATCCCAGATCAATTCAGCCACTCTATGCAGGTGATGAAGTAAGGGGCAGTTTTTAATAACATTTTTATCCGCCTTTTGATAACATTTGTTACTCTGAAAAGGCGCAACCAGACTGCTGATTTCTTTGCCCCATACATTAGCAGGGCTCTCCTACAGAATCTAGAACAAGAAGATCCATTAGAGGACAGGTCCTCAACTCTGCACATTATCAGAATGTTCCATCCCCCAATTTAATACTTCCTCCTCCTCCCCCCCTCCTCCTTCTTCTTCTGCCCCCCCCTCTTCTGAATGAAATACTTTGAGGAATATTAAAAAGGAAAGATATTATATTTCCCTAAATGAGAAATGGAGAAATATGTTTTTTGAAAGACAGAAAGCAGACTCAGCAGTCTATCCCCCCACTCAGCAGATATTTTGTGCCCATTAAGAAAGATTGGGCCACCCTATCTACAAAACAAAAGACCTTCATCTTCAGGATGATGGGATTAAGAAGAACAGGGCATGATCCTTCAGGACATAATAGGATTAACCCACTACCATTTAGCAGAAGATACAGAGCTCACTACATTTTTTAAAAAAAAATTGATTTATATGCCGCCCTTCTCCAGAGGCTCAGGGCGGCTTACAATGCGTTAAGCAATAGCCTTCATCCTTTTGTATATTTATACAAAGTCAGTTTATTGCCCCCACAACTGGGTTCTCAATTTACCTACCTTAGAAAGGATGGAAGGCTGAGTCAACCTTGAGCCTTGGCGAGATTCGAACCTGCAGTAATTGCAGACAGCTGTCTTAATAACCAGCTTAATAACAGAGTGCCTTAGACCACTGTACTACCAAGGCTCACTACATTGCATCTCCTAAGGGTATTTCAGTCATTGCATCATCTCAAAGCAGTCCAAGCTTCAGCCAAACCTGGGAGTTCAGACAAACACCGTCCTAGGATTTGTATTTCCTCTTTTGCCTATAGAGCCAGCTATGACCCCTACATAACCCCTACATGGCCCCATGGGAGTCTGACAACAGCCAATAGGATACATGTTCTTGCACAGGAACAGGAAGTTCAAGTGCAAAGGCCAAAAAAGGTATAAAAGCCCCTCACTCTCAATTCCATTTTGTCAGCTGCACCAGAACCGTGTGCTTGGTGGTTCTGTTCATCATTAAACCATCTTTCCAATTGGCCTCCATGTTTCCAATATCTTTCTCCCAACTTGCAACTGAACCACCTCCTCCTCCTCCTTTACGCTTCTCTTTTCCCAGTGTTGAATAATTCTTGGCCAAACCTTTATTTTATTGATTAATTAAATTAATATGCTGCTCATTATATATTTATTTATTAGATGTATATGCCGCCCATCTCACTTTGAAAAGAAATCATTGTGTTGTTTACGTTTGTTTAGGAAACGCCATCCTCATGCTGTGGCATCCGCAGAGGACAAGCCACGAGCCACACCAGGACGGCAACCAGTAACCCCTGTAATTATTCCTTGCATCAGGACCCCCATCCGAGCCCCACGTTTCCAATAGAATTCATTCAGGCTTCTCATCAGTTTAACCTCTCTGTAACACAGACTGCGTCGGTCCTCTGCTCCCAATAAATTAATCAGTAAGCATCATTGAGCGGTCACGAGCACCCAACCTAAAGGAGCATCGTGCCCACTGATGTGGGAGGATTCCTGCCAAGTCAGTGGGTTTCTGGGTCCTCCCCAGAACCCCAAGTGCCATTTCTGACTGTGCCCAAATTGGGTTGGGGTGTGTGCCCAGGAATGGACAGGAGGTGACGCTTGACACCTGATGTCTCCACCTGGAACTGTGGCCAAGAAAAGCTCCAGCCTTAAACCAACTCAACAGTCAATGGATTTTTCCTGAAGGTTTGGGAGAGGAACATTGTGAAGCAGAGGTGTCCAACCTTGGCCCCCTTTACAACCTGTGGACTTCAATTCCCAGAATTCTGGGAGTTGAAGTCCACCAGTCTTAAAAGTTGCCAAGGTTGGATATCCCCAGTGGTGAAATCCTGCCAGCTCTCTCCGGCTCGCGTGAACCTGTAGTGGTGGCGGTGCATGGTTTGGCGAAACGGTAGCGGCAGCAGCGTGAGGCTCCGCCCACCTGCCTGGATGTCGTTTTTGACCCTCTGCGCAAGCACAGAAGGCTTTATGCATGCACAGAGGGTCAAAAATCAGACCCGATGATGTCGTGCGTGCGCACTTCCAAACTGGTAAGGAAGATAAGTAGATTTTACCCATGGATACCCCTGATTTAAATAAACCTGGTTCTCCTGCTCATATTGCTCCTTCTTTAGATCGAATCCACGATCAGTCACTCTAGTTGCAGGTAGTCCTACAACAGTTCATGTAGTGACCATTCAAAGTTACAACAGCATTGAAAAAAGGGGATTATGACACTTACAACCATTGAAGCACCCCTGTGGTCACATGATCAAATTTCAGACCCTTGGCAACTGACTCATATTTATGACATTTGCAGTGTCCCGGGGTCATGTGAGCTCCTTTTGCAAACCTTCTGACATGCAAAGTCAAGGGAGAAGCCAGATTCTCTTAATACCCTTGTTACTAACTTAACAACTGCAGTGATTCACTTAACAACTGGGGCAAAATAGGTCGTAAAGTGGGGCAAAATTCACTTAACAAATGCCTCACTTAGCCCCAGAAATTTTGGGCTCAATTGGGGCTGGAAGTTGAGATCTACCTGCATAGAACATAGGATAAGAAAGTGGGCAGGGGAGACAAAAACTGTGAATATTCCGAGGAGAGCCCCCAGGTGGACTTTGGGGGCTGGAAAGGAACTGCTGGTCCCTTGGCACTTCTCCAGCCAGATTCCTTTCCTGCCAAGGGGCAAAGAAGAGAATCTGATTGGGGATTCGATCTAAAGAAGAGCAGTCTGAAGAGGAGAACCAGGTTTATTTAAATCAGGGGGATCCAACCTTGGTAATTTTAAGGGCCTGTGGTCCCTTCAACTATATTATTCTATGACCTATTAGATTCATGTCATCATCTTTCAATTTATTAGGTGCGGCTAATCTAGTTTAGATTCAGAGTGGTGGGAATTTAATAATAGTAGGAGGTAAGATAAAGATAGGTCATTACCCACCCACCCCCCCTTTGGTTACTTAACATATTTATGGATAAATGCATTAGGTATCGTTCCTGTGATGCTGCAACACCCGTCATAAATATGAGTCCGTTGGCCAAGCCATTGGTCACGTGATCACTGGGATGGGGCCGCAACAGTCATAAGTGTGAAAAACGGTCCTAAATCACTTTCTTCAGCACCTTTGTAATTTCGGATTTCGGTCACTGAATGAACTAATAAGAGCCTTGGTGGTGCAGCAGACTAAACTGCTGTTAAAGTAGCACTTAGCTGCCAGCTGCCTGCAATTACTGCGAGTTCAATTCTCACCAGGCTCAAGGTTGACTCAGTCTTCCATCCTTTCGAGGTAGGTAAAATGAGGACCCGGTTTGTGGGGGCAATAAGCTGACTTTGTATAAAAAAGAACACCGCTTAGGAGGGAGGGGGGCAAAAAGCCCTACTAAGCAGGTATATACATAAGTATGAAGGCTATTGCTTAACGCATTGTAAGCCGCCCTGAGTCTCCGGAAAACGGCGGCATATATAAATCGAACTAATAAATAAATAAATAATAATAATAATATTGTAAGACGAGGACTAGCTGGGTTGCAAAGTGAGGGGTGGGGGGGGGGGCGGGGCGGGTGCGCGCCCCCGCGAGAGAGAGAGGGGGGGGAGAATAGGGGAGCGAGGGGGCCGCGGCGGGAGCGCGCTTGGGGGCGGCGCCTGCGGCCCGAGCCCTTCCGGCCTGGCGCGGCCTAGTCCCGCGGAGAGCGCCGCGCCGCCGCCCGGGGATGCTCCTGCTGGCCCTGGGCGACCCCGGGATGGAACCGGCCCGGCCCGCGCTGGTCATCCGCATCCGCATCCCGGACGGCGGCGGCGCCGTGGACTGGACCGTGCACCCCGCGCCGCAGCTGCTCTTCCGGGACGTGCTGGTGAGGGGCGGCCGGGGAAGCGGCGCTGGGGGGCCCGGGGGCGGCGGAGGGCGGAGCCGAAGGAGCCCGGCTGGGAAGGCTGCTCTGGGCCGCGCGTGGGGCGTCCTCCGTGGGGGTGGGGAGGGGGGGCTGCGGGGCCCCTCGGAGGCCTGGCAGGAGAGCCCCTCCCCCCCCTGGCGTCGCCCCCTCCCCTCCCCTCCCCCCCCGGCCTCGGAGGCTCTGCTGGGCCCTGCACGGGGGGGGGAGGTCGGGGATGATGGGTCTCAGACCACCCAGCCCTATCAGGACCCTGTGGCTGGAAGAGGGAAAAAGCCCCCCCCCCACTTTAGAAAGGACTCCCACTTTGCTGGGGAACTGCTTACATCCCTCAACTTTACTTCCATCGCTCTGGGTTGGATGATTGGATTCCCACCAGCTCTCAATCTTTTGACTATGGTAGACTTCGTACATGGAAAGACAGATGGCATGAACTGAATAGGACAGAGAATAATAAGAGTTGGAAGGGACCTCGGGGGGTCATCTAGCCCAACCCCAGGGATGAAATCCGATTTTTTTCCCCCTACCGGTTCGGTGGGCATGGCAGGGAAAGGATATTGCAAAATCCCCATTCCCACCCCACTCCAAGGGAAGGATATTGCAAAATCCCCATTCCCTCCCCACTCCAGGGGAAGGCTACTGCAAAATCCCCATTCCCACCCCACTTCAGGGAAAGAATACTACAAAACCCCCCATTCCCTCCCCACTCCTGGGGGAAGGATATTGCAAAATCTCCATTCCCTCCCCACTCCAGGGGAAGGATACTGCAAAATCCCCATTCCCACCCCACTTCAGGGAAAGGATATTGCAAAATCTCCATTCCCACCCCACTCCAGGGAAAGGATACTGCAAAATCTCCATTCCCACCCCACTCTGGGGCCAGCCAGAGGTGGCATTTGCTGGTTCTCCAAACTATTCAAAATTTCCACTGCTGGTTCTCCAGAACCTGTTAGAACCTGCTGGATTTCATCCCTGCCCAACCCCCTCTTGGGGCAGGAGATTCTATATCACTTCAGGCAAATGGCCATCCAGTCTTTCCAGTGGTTATTGATAGGCACACTGGGCGCCATACCCAAAAAATGTTTGATGGCACTTAGGGAATCTGCACCTTGACAAAATGTCCATCTGGCAATTGGCAAAGGCCGCACTGCTTGGATTCCCACAATAACATCCTAGTTCATGTGAATAAAGCAGCTAATGAACTGGGGGCTGTGACTTGGCATTGTTCTGAATAGACAACAACAACAACAACAACAACAACAACAATAATAATAATATCCTGACTCTTGCAACCCTGTGCATGGCTGTCTCTGCCTTGAATTTTATATATTTATAGTTCTTTACTTAACCTACCCATCATAGGTTAACTCTGGGCAGCTCTCAGCAATAATGAAACTATGAAGGTGTAAACAGAAAAATAAAACTAAGATTTCCCCACGGCCTCCAGGAGCCTCAGTCATCTAGGGCAGGGGTCTGCAACCTTGTCAACTTTAAGACTTGTGGACTTCAACTCCCAGAATTCCTCAACCAGCTTTGCTGGCTGAGGAATTCTGGGAGTTGAAGTCCACAAGTCTTAAAGTTGACAAGATTGCAGACCCCTGCTTTAGGGTGCTCCAACAGCCATCTTTGGGAGGAAGTGTTCTACAGCAGGGGTCTTTGACCCCCGGACTGTGGCCCGTTACCAGACCTTGAGCTCTTTGGAACCGGGCGACAGAAGTGGCTGATGAGTGCATGTGTGCATGCATTCCCACTTGCACAAGCAATGGGTAAGTGCAGGCGCATGCGGTCCATGTGCAAATGGAGCTGTGCACGTGTGTAGTTGACTGCGGCTCACGCAGGACCATCCCCTCCTCCCTGCGCCGGTCCGCAAAGCTGGAAAAGTTGAGGAACTCTGTTCTACAGGGTAAGAGCAGCCATGGAAAAGGGCCCCTTCTGTGGTCTCCCTGATGTCCAAATAGCAGGGAATGGACCTGGAGAATGCCTGCCCTATGCAGTCTGGGGGGAAGGAGCAGATACCCTCAGGGACATTAGCATTAAGCCACATCTCCAGGGCTTTTAATGCATTCGGGGCTGCTTTGAGTAGTGGGTTTCATGGGTTGGACTTCAATCTGCTTTCATTAATCGGGTTTCTGGTTTTTGTCCCATCTATGCTCCTTTCTCTTTTTGCCACAGTTTCAAGGCAGTCTTGACACATAGACAAAATTGACTGGGCACATCACTCCCAATTTAATTTAATTAATTTAATTAATTCAATTTATATGCTGCCCCTCTCCGAAGACTCAGGGTGGCTCCGAAGACAAACATGGCTTCTCAGCAAGAGATGTCAGAGCCCCGCAGAAGTCTCGGAAGGAATAATTTCAAATCATTGTCCCCTGGTCAGGAAGATTGGGGTTTATGGGCAGGGAGGTCCAAAACATGGTGGGCATCATATTAGCTCCTCTGTAGTGGTCAGTTTCAGGTGGTAAATCAGGACATGACTCTATCCAAGGAATAATGTGCTCCATGCACCTATGTACAGTACTGTATGTATGATCAGTCTATTGCCTCAGCTCAGGGGTCTGCAACCTTAAATACTCAAAGAGCCATTTGGACCCGTTTCCCACAGAAAAGAAAACACCAGGAGCCACAAAATCTGGGTGGGCGTGGCCAACTCGATGTCACTCACTTCCACCAGTCACATGACCCCCTAGCCACGCCTACCCAGCCAGTCATTAGGACAGAGAACAGTTGTTAAAAAACACCGGGAACCACAAAATCCTTTTAACATATCTTTCCTTTCCCTCCCTCTCCCCCCCCCCTCTCTATCTCTCTATGTCTCTCTCTCTCCCCCTCTCTCTGTATCTCTGTCTCTGCCCTGGCCGCTTCTCCATCCCCTTGCCCTTACCTTCTCAGGCCAGGCGAGGAATGACTGGGAGGGGAGGGCGAGGGGCGGGGCCAGCCATTGGTGGGATCACCTGACAGGGAGCCACAGCAGAGGGCCCAAAGAGTTGCATGGGGCTCCTGAGCCGCAGGTTGCTGACCCCTGGTTTAGCTCAACCTGTTGACTGCTTTTTCGTCTATCTGCCTGTCTAACCTAATCCTAATCTAATCTAATCTTATTTTATCTTATCTTACCTATCTTATCTATCTATCATCTATCTATCATAAAAGGGGAGGAGAATTTACTCTTTTTTTCTTTCCGCACTCAGCCAGGGTGGATCCTACATGTTAAATGTTAAATCCAATTGACTATTTTTTCCTCTTTTTTCTTGTATACTGTTTTTTTGTTGTTGTTGATGTTGTTGTTAGGGTTGAATGTATGTTTTTGCTTTGTTTCATTTTGTTTGTTTGTTTTACTGTTCTGTATTTTATTTATTATAAAACTATAAATTTAAAAAGAGGTTTACATTCAACAATAATAAATTTTTCAGAAAAGCCATAGGACTAGATTATTCCCTACTGATTCTTTAAAATTATGTCAACTTTAAGATGGATGGACTTCTAGAATTCCCCAGCCAGCATGGTTGGCTGGGGAATTCTGGGAGTTGAAGTCCACCCATCTTAAAGTTATTGAGGTTGAGAAACACCACTTTAAAATGCTTGCTTGTCTCTGTCCTTAAGACTTGGAATTATCAAGGACTAGATTTTTTCAGAGATCGGGGCTGGTTAAAAAATATTCAGGAGGAGAAATCAAGACCTGATTGGGTTGTTGTTGATAATGTATTGTTTGTCAACAGTTACATTCTTTGCAGTGGAGCCAAAGGGACTTTCTAGCAGGGTCTTCCTCTTTTATTATGTACATAATTGTTAAAACCAGATTTCCAGCCCTCTTTGAGAAATGAATGAATATAAGGAAGCATATGACACATTTGTTGATGTGGGAAATGCATTTTGTAATAGACATCAGATTGAATTATGGACTGTTTTGTACTGATGTGGAATTGACTGTTGATTATTGAATATGATATAATAGGATGAGAAAGCATGGGTGACAATACAGGTAGTCCTCGATTTATGACCAACATTGAGCCCAAAATTTATGTTGCTAAGTGAGACATTTGTTAAGTGAGTTTTGCCCCATTTTACAACGTTTCTTGCCATAGATGTTAAGTGAACCACTGCAGTTGTTAAGTTAGTAATATAGTTATTAAGTGAATCTGACTTCCTCATGGGCTTTGCTTGTCAGAAGGTCAAAAGGGGGGGATCACGTGACCTCGGGACTCTGCAACCGTTATAAGTATGAGTCAGTTGCCAAGTGTCTGAATTTTGATGATGTGACCACAGGGATGCTACAATGGTCGTAAGTGTGAAAAACGGTCATAAGTCACTCTTTTCAGTGCCATTGTAACTCCGAATGGACACTAATGAACTGTTCTAGGTCAAGGACTTCCTGTAACAATTGTTTAGTAGGAGGTAAAATAAAGATATGTGATACTTACTCCCTGTGGTTACTTCACATATTTATGGATAAATGCAATAGGGATTGTTGCTGTGATGTTAGAGACAGGTTGGCTGTGGATGTGAAAGTGAGTCTATGGCAATGCCTTGTTGTTGGCTGAGACCCTGAATGTTAGATTGTAGGCTATACAGTGTAGGAAGAATGAACCTGAAAAGACCAAGGCAGTTGTGTTTGAGAAGGAAAATGGAATGACTACTTGGCAAGTCACAGATGTTGTAAATGTTGTAAGACGAGAGCAGGTGGATGAATTTTTGTACCTGGATGGAATGATTACTAAAGAGAAGGAAATACTTGGAGAAATTTTAAGACAGACTAAATGCTGCTAAAAACATAATGAAATGACTCTTTGTCAAAAAAAAAAAGAATACTTGTAAGAAACAAGTGTTTATCAAAAAGGCTGTGTCTGAGGGGTATGCTCATGGAATATTGGGTATCAGGAGAACAAAAAGGAGTTGAAAAGGGTGGGGATACACGAGGCCTGTAAAACAAGAAGTGATATTTTCACTTTTACATTTAATCCAGATTAATTCAGGACCTGTTGGTTCAGAATTAATGTGGATTAAATGTAAAAGCGGCCAGTCCAAACGGAAGGGGTTTGATATACCAAGAGAACAAGTAAAAGTCAAAAACAAATATATGAAAGAAAGACCAGTGAAAGAAAAAAAGGAAAGAAGAATGTTGTGGTTGCAGGGAAATTGACAAGATGCTGAAAAAGAAGTTTAAGAGCCAAAGTAGGTTCCTGAGTAATTTACAGGTGTGATAATTTGCAAAGTTGGAAAGCTGTGGAGAAGTGTAATGAACAGAATTGGTGTCAACAAGAGTTAGTTATATTCCTTTTCTTTTTCGTTGTCTATTCTCATTCTTTTTCCACAATTAGGGTAACATTGAAAGAAATTTGAGGGAAGCATATGCATGTATGTGTTAGTTGTGAAATTATGTTGTTACTTCTATTACACGTATCTATGAAGTTTCATCTGTTACTGGTTTAACATGATAAAGGGTGCATAAATTGTGAGCTCAAAGTGATTTCCTCCACAGCCATTTCAGGTTCATATTGTCATAGGAATAATAATGCTGTTTTGGGCTATTTGTTAAAACCATTACATTAAGTCCAGCAGCTCACTTCCTTGTTGAAATTAACTTCAGATTGACAGTACCGGCAGTCCTTGATTTACAACCACAATTAGAACTAGAATTTCCATTGCTAAGCAAGGGGGTTGTTAAGCAGATCCCTGTGGTTGTTAAGTGAATCACAAGGTCGTTAAGCGAATCCAGTTTCCCTGATTGACTTTGCTTGCCTTGTTGGGAGCCAGTTGGGAAGGTCACAAATGCCAATCATGCGACCCAGAATGCTGCAACCATCAATGAATACATGCACCCAAATTTTGATCATGATAACCCTGGGGATGCTTCAGTGGTCATAAGTGCAAGGATTTTTTTCAACGCTGTTGTATCATTGAAGAGTCTCTAAATGAATGGTTATAAGTTAAGGACTACCTGTACTGGAACTTTAATATTGCATTGGAGTGTTATTAGATACTGTATGTATGTATGTATTAAATTTGTATGCCACCCATCTCACTGATAAAGTGAGTGTTTGAAGTAGTTGGTGGGATGATTTTCCATAGAGCGCCCCATTTCTGGAAAGCATTTGGCACAGGGGTGTCAAACTCAAGGCCCGGGAGCTGTATCCGGCCCCCGGGGTGCTTAGATCTGGCCTGTGGGGCCGCCCTGGAAACTGAAGGACTGGCCCACAGTGCCTCTGCCAGCAAAAATGTTTTCACCCGCAGAGGGTTGCAGGAGGCCGTCACAGCCAAAAACGGAGCTCGGGAGCCTGTTTCTCTGGCAGAGCGCTTGGGCCCCCAACATGAGTGATGCCAAGCTGGCTGTGCCCAATCCCCCCCCCCAAAGGTCAAACCCAACCCTGATGTGGCCCTCAATAAAATCGAGTTTGACACCCCTGTTGGCATCTCCAAATGCAGAAGCGCAATGGACACTGGAGTAGAGCACTCAACCTCAGCAACTTCAAGATGTGTGGACTTCAGATCCCAGAATTCTGAGGTCCACCTGTCTGAAAGTTGAAAGGGCTGTCTGGACAGGCAAAGGCCAATGAATGGAAAAGATCATAGAGTTTTCCTTCTTTCCCTCTTACCTTAGAGCAGTGGTGGGGAGCTTGCGGACTTCAACTCCCAGAATTCCTCAGCCCGCATGGCCTGCTCAGAAATTCTGGGAGTTGAAGTCCACAAGTCATAAAAGGACCAGAGTTCCCCAACCCTCCTTTAGAGAAACAGGAGAGTTTATGAAAAAGGCTGGAGTTTTCCTAGCCAGCAATCACCTACTGTACGTCAGGTTGAAGCTGCACGATAGGCAAATAAACGGAGTTTGCAAACACCCCCCTGAGAGCTGCTGCTCTACATCAGCCGAGTAACAACTCTGGGTGGTAAAGAGAGGCATTTTTCAATCCTACACGAGGGTCTCTTCCAAGGATGAAATATGTGCGGCTTCACTTCTGCTTTCGGCAGCCGGAGTTAACATGCTAGGAAAAGCTGAATATTAATTATTCTGTGAAAAGTCTTCCGTTACGAATATAACTAACGGCCTTCATTTTTAATGTTACAGGACGTAATCAGTCAGGTTCTTCCGGATGCAACGACAACGGCTTTTGAATGTGAGTATGGCTTGCCAGAGAGACGGGCGGGTGGGAGGCAGTTTATATTTGCATCATTTATTTAAAACAGTGACAACTACATCTTGGTTTATGTTCAGATATCTCACAGTTAAATATTTATGCACAGATGCAAGTTTAATGATAAACCTTAGCTAAGTAATATTTTATTATTTAATCACATCTTGAGAGCACATATTTCTACCGTATAGCTTTAATTACCATCCTGACCTTACTGTGCTCTTTGGACGCACTGCAATTATATTGCTCAAATTAAATGAAAAATATAAAGTACCTGGAGGCTTTGTGTGCTGAGATTTTAATGTTCAGATTTGTAGGATTAAAAGCAGAAATCGGTTAGATGGCCTCTGCGGGAATCAGACTTTTTTGTGTATATGGCACTAAATTGGTTATGGTCGTGTTACCTTCCCTGGAGGTGGGGATCCCATCACCTGGCCATTGTCTTCACGGGAGAAGGTTGGAGGGCAGCTCAGGACTCCAAAGGTTTAACCCTGGACTTCCCTGGTGTCAGACCCTTGAAGATGTCTGCAGTTCAGCACCTGGGAGCATTAAGAATGGGGCTCCTCTCACACACACTGGAGAAGATCCCTCTCTCCATTTTTATAATCCGGGAACAATGCTGGCCCGAGATTGTAGGCTGCATTGCTATTATCCTTCTTATCTTCCCATTTTTCTCATCTTTTTTCATCTTCCCTACTATCTTCTCCTATTGGCATCTTATAATTTGATTACTTGTTGTATGTATCTTATGATTAATGATTGTAACTATGATTTATGATCTATGACCTATCACTTTGTTGTTTGTATGTACACTGCGAGCTTATGCACTGGAGACAAATTCCTTGGGTGTCCCACTTGACCAATGAAGAATTTTGTTCTGTTCTATTATTTTGTACTTTTGTCCTCTCCTCTCCTCTCCTCTCCTCTCCTCTCCTCTCCTCTCCTCTCCCCTCCCCTTGGCGTTTCTCCCGCATTTTCTCCGGTATTGGTGCAATGCCTAATTGCTGCTCCATTGTGGCATTGCTGACATGGTCAAGAGAAACACCTAATGACCAAAGAGGCGGGTGCACCTCTGTGGCGTGTAGAAAGCAGTCAATGCATTTGGTGGTTGGCCATCACTCAGTGCCATATAAAGCTACTGGGCGTACTATTGTTTTATACACCTTTGATTTTAGATAGACTGTCTTATGAGATCATCGTACAAAAACATTGTCTATAATGTGACCATTTTGGCACCACTCCCCAAATACGGGCTTATAGAGTTGAAGGTGGCCGGGCTCAAGATCGCGTGGCAGGCCAGCCCGGTCTTCCCCACTGACCTTTGCGTCTCAGCGGACGTCTCCGTACCAGTAACGGGCATGGATTGCAGTCCAGGGCTGCCCTGGGCAGAACCTGCTCTCAGGAAATATGGGTTTCATGGCTTCTCTTAACATCTGCTGCTGTGCTTTCTAGTTCTTGAATTAGCCTGCCATTTTGCACCAGCATGACATTGTTTCTCCTGCCACTTAAGTGCATCAAAAATATGTTAATGTGTATTGATGCCGTTTGCTTTCTAGGTTATCTTCTCCCTAATGAAAGCCTGAAATTTCCCCGGCTTAAGTATCTTCTCAGCTACTTGATGGCTTTCTTGGAGGCAGTTAATTGCTATCCGCAGCGGCTTCCGCTCCTGTTTGCTTAGTTATTGCTATCTCCGGTGTGTCTTCTGTGGCTGCCTCTACCTGGGGCTGTATTCTCCGTTGCCATTGGACCTTGTTGTACGCCATGTTGCTACAAATAAAACAACTAACGACATATGGCTCGTTATGGTCTTTTTATCCCAAACCGTTTTGCGCGTGCCCGGCACACTGCGTCTTTTGCAAAAATTGCTGTGGAATATTTGGTTGCCATCTGCTGCTTTCTATTTGGTGTCTTGCGAGGAGGTGACATTAGCAAAAATCTAGGCTTTATTTAGTTCTACTTTTGCTTCCCTAATGGACTGGAAGATCGTGTTGTTTGCGCTCTAGGCGAGGAGAGGGGCTCGGCAAGCCCCCTTTGAACCTTCGCATTCTGCAGAATCGCTTGAACGGGGCTCCGTGGTTTCCTCCCGGCGGGACGGGTGAGCAAGCTTCCTACTTAGTCAGAGAAATACAGTACCTGAAAGTGCCCGTTTCCCTCCCATCAAATAACAAATGACGCTTGTCTCTTTTAGGGGGCCGCCGCGTCTTTTCCGTGTCTTTCTTTATCCCCAAATGTGCATACTGTAAGAACAGGAAAGACACTTCAGTTCACCTGAGAATTTTCAAAGTTGTGTAGCTTTTAAAGCTAATCTTCTGTAATGAGGTGCTTTTTCGGTGGCGTTTATTTGTGAGCTTTGCAAATTGTGGCCTTTTAGTACAAAATCCTCCTTCCAGGTACCTTGTTTTAAATTCCTCCCATTCTCTTGATTATTCTGGGTTTGGTTTTTTTTATTAGCTTTTTTTTCCATTTAGAATCAGATTGTGTTTAGAATTTTCTTAGCCGTTACTATTCTAATGACTTCTACCGGAGATACAAGAATTACGGTATATTTGTTTATGACGTGAGAGGCCTTATGCTCCTCTTGGGGAGACGAAGATAGTGATAGAACTGAGACTCAGTGAATCACTTAGTTTGCCCCTGTGTCCAACTTGGTTTCATTGAGGGTCCCATCAGGGTTCTCTTTGATCTCGGAGGGGTGGGCATGGCCAGGGGGGCATGGCCAGCTTAATGGCATTCGTGTCAGCGCCTGTGATGGTCTGAGCGCTCTGCCAGCGAAAACAGGCTCCCAATCTCCGTTTTTGGCTGCAAAGGCCTCCTGCAACTCTCTTTCACTGGCAGACGGTTGCAGGAGGCCGTTGCAGCCAAAAACGGAGATCGGGATCCCATTTTCGCTGGCAGAGGCACTGTGGGCCGGTCCTTCACTGTTTCCAGGTCTGGCCCAGGGGCCTCGAGTTTGACACCCCTGTCCTAGGAGTTTTTCTACCTACAATGGTGGTAGTGGTGTCATTATGCCACCCTCTGTGTAGATAGACTTTAGAGAGTAACATAAACTCTAAGGAGTGTAAGCTCAATTTTGATAGTGCAAGATGCCTGTACCTGGGGGAAGGGGGGTATAGCCTGAACTTACTTTGTTTGTTTGTTTAGAAACTACCCTTCTCTCTCATAGAGTGATTCTGGGCAGTGTACAAGTAGGCATAAAAACATAAGAGCTATACATAAATATTATAATAAGCAATTAAAAAGAATATTTATTTGTTTGTTTGTTTGATTGATTGATTCATATGCCACCTTTCTCTGGAGACTCAGGGCGGCTTACAATGCGTTAAGCAATAGCCTTCATACTTTTGTATATTGATTGATTGATTGATTGATTGATTGATTGTTTGATTGGTTTGATTTATATGCCGCCCTTCTCCAGAGACTCAGGGTAGCTTACAATGCGTTAAGCAATAGCCTTCATACTTTTGTATATTGATTGATTGATTGATTGATTGATTGTTTGATTGGTTTGATTTATATGCCGCCCTTCTCCGGAGACTCAGGGCGGCTTACAATGCGTTAAGCAATAGCCTTCATACTTTTGTATATATATCTGCTTAGTAGGGCTTTCGCGCCCCCCCCCCCACCAGTGTTCTTTTTTATACAAAGTCAACTTATTGCCCCCACAATCCGGGTCCTCATTTTACCTACCTCGAAAGGATGGAAGGCTGAGTCAACCTTGAGCCTGGTGAGAATTGAACTTGCAGTAATTGCAGGCAGCTGGTGTTACTTAAAAGTGCTTTAGTCTGCTGCGCCACCAAGGCTCTAAATAAATTAATAATAATAATAATAATGTCAGACTTTGATGCTATCTCAAAATAAATGAATTTCCAAACTGCCAATCTTTAAGGAAATATTTTCTTTAATTGAGCACAGCCACCGGATCATGACTCGATGTGGACAAGACTGACCTTTTGCCCCCCAATCCCTCCCTTTCCGATCCCCAATTCTCTGCTTCTCATTGGCTATCTTCCAAGTCATTCTCCAGACTTCTTGTCACGTCATTTCCCAGGAATGTTTCCCCCCTCCTCATTTCCATGACAACCTGACTTCAAAGGGATTTAGCAGGCAAAAGTTCAGAAATTATCTCTCTCTTCTCTATGCCAGCGCTGAGGCGCTGACAAATAATTTAAAAATTTTAAAAGCAAGAAGGTCTTCAGAGGACTAGCCAGTCCCATGGCTGCATGCTCCTCTGTGGGTCCCAAGTGAGATGGCAGAGCCAGGTCTTCAGACTGGGAAACTGGACCAGGAGATTAGGGGCCCACCTCGCCCCTGGGAGAGACATTGTGCCTGCTGGGGTGGGGGCAGTGGCAGAGAAGGTTCTCTTCTTCAACCTGCTGGTCAAAATTGATGGGGTCTGCAACATACCTTCCCTGATTGACCCACTAGAGGGGCTGATGTAATGATGGTTCCAGAGGTAAAATCTTAAAGGTGATAACTAATGCTTTGAATTGGATCCAGAAGCAACCTGGCACCCAATGCAGCAGTTGTGCAGCCCCCTCCCATTATATCATGAAATAATTTCTGTAGCCTGACCTGGCCCCAAAGCTGAGGTCCATGGAGAGGATCTGAAGTCACCCTAGACCCGTTGACATGACTTTTTAGTTCCATGCGTTGTTCTTGCTCTTTCACACCTGCCCAGCTAGTCACCCTTAACTTGAAATTAAGACAAAACCAGTGTTTGTTCATATTCTTTGGCCCTCATTTGTTCATATTTCAAAAGTTCCTCCACGTCTATCGCATATGTGATCTTCTTTTAAACCCGATAAATTTTAATGCCCAGACTTTTATTTTCTGCAGATGAAGATGAGGATGGCGATCGGATTACTGTTCGCAGCGATGAAGAAATGAAAGCTATGTTGTCCTATGTAGGTATATGTTCAATAAACTGGATTAACTAAGTTACCAACTGCTAGCAAACATCACTCAAAAGGCTGAGTTGAATGAGAAGGGTCCAGGACAACTCGCCATGGCCATCTCACCGCAGGACAAGAGTTACACTAATATCAAGAAACGGCGGAATAGACTCATTAAAGAAAGGATGCAAAAGGAGGGGCAGAATGAAGTATGAATGACAAAAAAAAATAAATATTTTTTATTGAATTTCCCGCAGTGGCGTTGGCCGTGGTGAGTTGGTGGTGGTAAGTCCATTATAGAATTAGGCAGCTGCAGGACTGCAGCAAAGGTGATTGGGCAGAATCCTGGAGTCTTCCAAGTTACTGTTGCTTCCCAACCCCAGACGCTCCCATATAACTTTTCTTTTTTTTTAGTGATAGCACCAAATTAAGACACAAACGTTATAATTTGTTTTGCTGTTGGTGTTTTTTTGTTTTGATATTTTTATCATCTTGGTTGAACAAGTTGTGGCTGGGATTTTGTCTGAAATTTTGAAGTGTTCCTTTTGTTGGAAAACCAGTGAATAATATACTTACAGATCTTGTTGTGAGCATTAAGAATAACATATCCCAAAGACTTTTGCATTAGATATAGTGCAGGCTAAATGGACTATCAATTTCTTCTATTTTTTATGCATTACTTAAAGTAACGGCTCATTAAAAATGAACCCTTCGGCTCTTTGAAAAAAATTTAAAAACAAAATCTGCTTTCATCTGGATACTTCTTCACCCCTTCTCTCAGAAGAGTTATATTTTAGCTGCAGGCTTGCCATGCTGAGAAGATTTTAAAGTGCGTTGTCTTTTAATAATGGCAACAAAGATAGGAAGGCTGCAGTGTTTATGTATATCTTTATAAATGGCTTGCCCTTTACGCTTTATAAATATGTACGAGTTCAGACATTCCCGGGGTTTTTTTTCAATTATAGGTAGACTTGACTTACAACCTAATTGAGCCTGGAATTACGATCATAAGTCGAGCCAGTCATAAAGTGAGTCAACATGTGACTGACCTGATTTTATGACAGTTTTGTGCTGATCGTTAAGTGGACAACACAGTCATTAAGCAAAGCTATTGTTTGCAACGGGCACTTTTTTTTTTTGGCTGGAAAATGGAAAACCCGTTGTCCATTGTTGTTGTGTGATCTTGGGACACTGTGAAAAGCCTTAAATGTGGACCCGTTGCCAAGCGCCTAAAATGCAGATCATGTGACCATGTGGGGCTGGATCTCGGAGCTTCAAATCCAACTCATAATGTACATTTTTGGGGGATGGGGGTCCATCGTAACTCTGAACTTTTGCTAAACAACCGGTCGTTAAGTGAGGACTCCCTGTAAAGCAGAGGGATAGGACTCTCCTCCTTCTGAACTGAGCTATGGATGGACCGGATCTTTCAAGGGGACCCATTTCATTGTCCATTGTACCCCAGCATCTGCCACATGACATGTCTGCACGCAAAGCTTTGATGCCACGATGCTCAGTTAAAGCAGCGGCCGCCAACCCTTTTGGCTCTATGGACCGGTTTCATGGAAGACCATTTTTCCACGGACGGGGGGTGGGGGGTGGAAGGGTTTCAGTTTCATTCGCTCACTTGCCACTCACCTTCAGCTGTGCAGCTCGGCTCCTAACAGGCCACGGACCGCTACTAGTCTGTGGCCCAGGAGTCAGGGACCTCTGCAGTAAAAGACGTCTCCTAAGGAAACTTTCCAAAGGTACAAACGAAGTAGGGAAATGTTGGCAAACCGAAACTCTCGGTGCCCTGGGTTCAATCCCAGCTGCACCCAGAACTCTTTCTGTGCACCCCTGGATTATGTGTCTCTTGCCAAGATACTATTGAGCAGTGTTTTCCAACCTGGGCAGATTCCCTGGGAATCTTGGGAGTTGAAGTCCACAAATCTTAAAGCTGCCCAGGTTGGAAAACACTGCTATTGAGGCAGAGGGAGTCATTTTGAGGGTGGCATGGGAATTTCCTTTCAGATGGATGCTTTTTTTTCATTGGAGCAGCCCCAATGGAGCAGCCGAAGGGATAGCAATAGCACTTAGATTTATATACCGCTTCATAGTGCTTTTACAGCCCTCAATGTGTTGGAACGCCCCCCCCAATGTAACTTCTATGTTAAGAGTTCATCATAGCTGGCACGCAAAGCTCCATTTGCTTTAATGGGCTTGGAGAGGGCTGGGCAGCCTCAAGGACTGGCCCCCAGAGAGCCTCTGAAACAGTGCCAGCTTGTGTCGTCTCTGGCACTTCCCAAAATTTCTGTTGCCAAGTGAAATATTTAAGTGAGTTTTGCCCCATTTTACGACCTTTCTTCCCATAGTTGTTAAACGAATCACTGCCGTTCTTAACGTAGTAACATGGCTGTTAAGTGAATCTGGTTTCCCCGTTGACTTTGCTTGTTGAAAGTCGCAAAAGGGGATCGCGTGAGCCCTGGACGCTGTGACCGTCGTAAGTATGAGTCAGTTGCCAAGCGTCTGAATTTTGATCATGTGATCATGGGAATGCTGCAACAGTCGTTAAGTGTGAAAAATGGTCATAAGTCATTTTTTTTCAGTGTCATCGTAATTTTGAACAGTCACTAAATGAATTGTTGTAAGTCAAGGACTAGCTGTATTTTGGGGATTGATTTCAGGCAACTGATACCTGGGTCCATCTTGCTGCAGTTATTTCCTTTTAATTAAGAAGTAGTGTGGTAGTTTCACTGTGTGACACTTTACTATAACCGTTTTATAGCATTTGAAAATGTTTAACTCTTTAGAGAAAAAGAAATATATCCAGGATGATGCATACTCAGAACTAAAGTCTTCACTTTTATGAAATGAAATGTCAGAAGTTTTTTGAAATGTATCTTGATAATTGTTTAGAGGTCCCACAACAGCAAGATAGGTTTGATTGTGTTTGTTTCTCTGTGTCTGTGTGCGGAGAGGTGCATGGATATGATCTGGAAGAGAATATTTTCATTTGTGAGCTACACTTTGCAGCTGGGCATCTCTGCACTGCCTCTGCATTTCTGAGGTCTTTATGTTTTTCTTCAGGAGCTCGTCAAAGCATCCAACTGACCATTGTTGGAAAAATATTTAATTAATGAGGATATTCAATTTTAATTTGTATCAAGTTTTTTCTCAGTTTTGCTTTGGAGCGTCCTTGCCTTACAATCGGCTGCTTAGTGACTGTTCAGATTTATGACAGACCCTCCAAAAGGTACTTACAACCTGGATTTGAAGTTCCACCTGCGATCACATGATTACACTTTGGGTGCTTGGCCACTCGCTCACATTAATAGCCATTTGCAGTGTCCTCCGGTCACATGACCGCAATTTACGATATTTTTTTGCTGGAAATCAGTGTAAACTTCTGGTTTCTGGAAAAAAAACATTCATTGCAGTCAATGGGTCTGCTTAACAACTGCTGCATTCACTTAATGACTGCTGCAAAAGAGGTAACTCACGATCCGGCCTGCGGGGTACTTCGATCTAGTCTGCAGGGCTGGCCTGGAAATAGCAAACGTCCGGCTCGCGGTGCTTCTGCTAGCAAAAATGGAGTGCAGGGGGCCACATGTGCGTCCCCACGACCTGTTTTGGCCGCCAGAGTGCTGCAGGAGGCCGTCCAGGCCCAAAACGGGGCCTCCAGAATGCTGCAGGAGGCTGTCCTTGACTCAGGTTATAACAGGGAGGAAAGATAAAATATTTTACCTTTCAAGCTTGCAGGATTCTGCTACTATAGCCTATGTCAATAATTTATAGTTTTATTCTTCCTATGGAGTCAGTTTCTTGATCTGGTATCTCTCTCTCATAGGGTGATCAAGTAGATCAAGTAAGTATTAAAAAAACAAAATCACAGAAATGTACGCCCCTCTATTTTTATAAGTGTATGAAGCCAAGTGTGTGGAGGTATGTCATGCCCACCCCTTGGCCACCCCCACCCCCACTCCCCCTGGCCCTCCGAGGTCAAACAGAACCCTGAGGCGGCCCTCAATGAAATTGAGTTTGACACCCCTGACTTAGACCAAGCTGGCTCTCAGTTTTCATGTGGGATCAGTTATAGGTGGCATGAAACCAGGGTGCGTTTTCAGAAGTTGTAATCTGAAATAGGAAGAAATAAATGTTTCCTTTAAGAGTTTTCAGACCTGAATGAAATAATTCCTAGAAGGTTGCTGTCTTATCATTGATGCAAATTACTATAAAGATGAAATCCAAGGTCAGTTTTTAATTGAAAAATGACTGATAGGTTGTCATTCTGGAATCCCTGTGTCGTCAGAGATGGTTGTTTCCCTTGAAACCTTCTCTCCCTTGAATTACTTCTAAACTTTCCCACCAGCACTATGCTTTCCCACCATGTACTAAACACTTAACTTGGCGAGATGGACGCTGAGATTTATTAATTGCACATTTTATACATTGAAAAATAATCCAAACGGCTTCCCTGCCTTACCCTTGGTTAATTAAAAAGGAGCCATTTAAGTGACCCCAGAGCTAGTCTACAGTTGTTGTCTTCTATGGGTATAAAAAGGCAGTAATTTTTTTGACAGTCACTGATTGGAAAGTTGCTTGCAGCCATCTGGAAGCAAAGGGAACACGTTTTGGATCAATAACTGGCAAATTTTCCATTAAAAAGAATACCTGAAGAGTGTTCCAAATAGCCCCTGGCATCTTAACTTTCCATGGCAACCCCAAGTGCTGAGATGTGGAGGACAAATCATTTTTGGACCATTTTTCCAGACTACTTGTTAACAGTTATTGCTGTCCCAGAAGGTTGACAGCTGACATGATTGATATTTCATTTACTTGTCATCTCCGTTTGAGTAATGGAGAAGGCCATTCTTTTCTTTTCTTTTATTATTATTATTATTTTTAAAGAAACAAAGAGAAAAATCTACTCAGAGCCTCTCTGGAGTCAGTCCCAGGAAAATGAGTCAGAGTCGTATAAGAATCTGCTTCTGAAGCTGAAACTCTGGCTTTAATGTCATGTTTCCAGCTCT